AAGACTTGGAATCAACCCAAATGTCCATCAGTGACAGACTGGATTAAGAAAATGTGGCACATATACACCATGGAATACTATGCAGCCATAAAAAAGGATGAGTTTGTGTCCTTTGAGGGACATGGATGCCACTGGAAACCATCATTCTCAGCAAACTATTGCAAGAACAGAAAACCAAATACCACATGTTCTCACTCATAGGTGGGAATTGAACAATGAGATCACTTGGACACAGGAAGGGGAACATCATACACCGGGTCCTATTGTGGGTAGGGGGTAGGGGGGAGGGATAGCATTAGGAGATATACCTAATGTAAATGATGAGTTAATGGGTGCAGCACACCAACATGGCACATGTATACACATGTAACAAACCTGCACATTGTGCACATGTACCCTAGAAATTAATGTATAATAATAATAAAAAAATTTCTCCCATAGGCTTTAGGCCATTAGGCCATCATAATTATCTAATAATTAAGTGCTGGGAAATAAAGAATGACATAAATAAAAATGATATATTGCTATATGCATAAATCATATCTAATATGCAATATATGTTAATGTCAGTATATAAAAAATATGATCAATATGTCAACATATGTACATATTATTTTTATTTGTGAGATTTATTTGAAAAAGTATCTGGTCTATATTTTAACTGTAAGTATTGTTATCAGAACTGGGAGGTGATTCCCTGGTGTTTTCAGTAAGCACCATGTAGCTTTTGTAGTGTGGATGACTTTGGTGTTTGAGGGGGTACCATGACATCCAGTATTTACTTGGAGGTATACTGAATTTTTGTGTTTTTGATGTAAGATAGCACAATTTGAATTTTTGTTATTCAAGGATTCACATCTGTACTTTGATTTGTGCATGTGCATGTCAGTGTGTGCAAGTTCGTGTCTGTGTGGTGTGCCATGATTTATATGGAAGAGTAATTTTCCCTTAAGTGTTTTGTGATCAGGAGTAATTCCATGCTCTATTTCTTCTTGGAGTGTTTCCTGGTTTCCATATATTTACAATGCAAGGTTTATAGGGAATTTTACTGTTTGATTATTTGGGGCAGTGTCTCCACACCCCAGCATTCTGCGCTTTGCAGAATGTCTAAATAACTGCCATCCTTTGAGTTGGCATGGGCCCAGGCACTTCTTTCAGTTTATAATTTGGAGAGTGTGGCTTGTGAGCTGATGTTCTGTTGTTTGGAGTGTGCTCTGACTCATATCAATGTGTTTGTTGATAAACTGTCAGAAGCCCTGAAGTGTAGGGAAAATTGTCAAGAATTTTCCGCTTGTCAAGAAAAACTGTGAAGCATGCTAAAATAGGTGGAAAAGATTACTGGATGTGCTTTTTAGTGCACCTTTCAGAATGATCAGTTTCTATAGCAGCCTGCACCTTTCATTGTCTTTGGATTATTTTAGAATGCTGTGTTGTAGGTAACTGATAGTAATACAAATAGTTTTTGTCCATAGAAATGAAAATGTATTTTATCCTTTGAAATGCAATTGATTATTACCCTCTGGATATTTACCAGTTTTGCATCTCCCAATAAATTCATTTCACCTTCCTAATTGCCTGTTTTGGTGTGTCCTTCAAATTCTCCTTTGAATTGGTGATAACATCTTACTGACTGACTTGCTAAATAATGACAACATTTTTGACATGTATTAATTTTCTATTTGTATGAGAAATAATCTACTTTTTCTTTTAAATTATCCTTTACTACCAGAAAATTTCCATTTCCAAGGGACCAGTTTTAAGTGCTCAATGTTTATTTGCATCTATGGTTAGAGTTTTGGGGTGTTACCTATAAATCTGAAAGCATATGTGCTGTACTTCTCTTTATTCAGTACCCTGAATGCCATTCAGAATATTTGGAAAATATACATTGTACCTTTAGCAATTTTACTGTACCACAGTGTTTGTTAGATCTTTCTATGGATTTAAGGATTGAGTTTAGAAGCAGATTTTTCTTTTTTTATTTGTTGCCAGCCCAAATGAAGTAGCCTATTAAATAATTTAAAATAAAACCCATTTGATTTGTGCTGCAATCTAAATCCCTGACCCCAAGGTCTGCCCTTTGCATGAAATAGGTTTGCATTTCAGTATTTTTAAATTATAAAGAAATAAATTAAAGCTTCCTGCTGAACTCCTAAGAGTTTGGTAACAATAGTAACAATAGCCTTTTAGAGTCCTTGAGTAATCTAGAGAAGGCAGATAGGATAAAGGAGTCTTAGGAAAATTAATTGGCACATGACATCCAACATTACATGCAGCCAGAAAACATAATACCTTTTCCGTGTTCTGATTGCTATTCTCTGACTGCTGTTCTCAACTGGCAGGCTGAATAACAGAGGCAGCGATGGAGGACAGTTTTTTGGAGCTTACCTGTTTTATTCAGAGACCTTGCTTTATTTGAAATTCATGCGACTTCACAGTATCATTATTTTGCTAGGATGATAAGAAATCACCTAAACTTAATATACAGGGGCCAGAATCTTCTCAGTGGAACATGGAAATAAGGCAGACTTTTATTTTATTATATTTTATTTTGTTTGTTTTATTTTATTTTTGAGATAGAGTCTCGTTCTGTTGCCCAGACTGGAGTGCAGTGGTTCAATCTCGGCTCCCTGCAACCTCCGCCTCCAGCGTTCAAGGGATTCTCATGCCTCACCCTCCCGAGTAGCTGGGAAGCGCACACCACCACACCCGGCTAATTTTTGTACTTTTAGTAGAGACACGGTTTCACCATGTTGACCAGGCTGTTCTCAAACTCCTGACCTCAAGTGATCCGCCCACCTTGGCCTCCCAAAGTGCTGGGATTACAGGGCTGAGGCACAGCCCCTAGCCAAGACATGCATTCTAATACAAATAACAAGGAACAAGAGAAACAAGAAAGTCATTATGCAAATACATGGCAGGTCAAGGCTATTCTGCCATGGGAGGGTGTGGTAGGCTGAGTCAGACTCCTTCCTGCTGCCCCTGTCCTCCAAAAAATCCAAGTCCTGATCCCCAGAACCTGTAAATATTATTGTTATATGACAAAATAGGACTTTGAAGATTTAAAGTGAGAATCTTGAGAAAGTGAGTTTACTATGATGGGCCCTGAATGCTTTCACAAGAGGAGGAGAAGGCAATGGTACCACAGAGGCAGAGACAGGAGTGATGAAGCCACGAGGCAGTAAGTGCAGGCAGCCACCAGAACCTGGAAGGGCCAAGGAGTGGATTCTCCCCTGGAGCTGCCTAAGAGAGTACGGCCTGGCGATACCTTGATCAGCCTTGTAATACAGCTTTTGAACTTCCAGCCTCCAGAACTGTGAGAGAATATATTTCTGTTGTTTTAAGTTGCTAAGTTTCTGCTAATTTATTACAGCTGTTATGGGAAACAAATACAGATTTTGGTACCTGGAAGGGAAGTGCTGTTGTAACAAACACTTACAAGTGGGAATGTGGCTTTAGAATTGGATAAACTGGGCAGAGGCTGGGAGAATTTTGAGGTGCATGCTAGTAAAGTCTAGATGGCCTTGAACAGATTGTTGGTAGAAATGTGGATTTTAGAGACTGCCCGTGAAGGCTCAGGAGGAAGTGAGAAGCATGGCAGAAAATGTCTGTATCATCTTAAAGAATATGTAAATTGTCATAAGCAGAATATTTTTTAAAATATTAAAAGTGATACTAGTGAGGGCCCAGCAAGAAAAGAGGAATGTCTCATAAATAAATAAATAAATATTTATTCCAATATTTCCTCCAGGAAATTGGAGGAAAGGTGACCCCTTTAATATAGTGGCAGAAAGCTTAGCAAAATTGAGGTCCTGTGTTTTTGTGGAAAGCAAAACTTAGAAGATGAGCTTGGATATTTAGCTGAGCAGATTTCCAAGCAAAGTGCTGAAGGAATGGCGTGAGTTCTTCTTGTTGCTTATAGTAATTATGAGAGAAGCAACATGCACTGAGGGAAGAACTGTTAAACAAAAGGGAACCCAGACTTGATGATTTGGGAAATCTCAGCTTATCTAGATTTCAAAAAATGTTAAAATTAGGAGAGTCATTGTTAGCAAAATGTGCTGTGCAGAGAAGGTCAAGGGCAATGGCCTTCTCATTCCTGATTTCTCCATGGTGATGTGGCTTGATGTTTCTATTCTCACTTGTCATTGACACAGTGAGGGAGGCAAAACTGTGGATGCAGCAGAATAGCCACATGCAGGATACTGAATTGAATAAGTAAGGTATTGAACTGAAAATAATTTGGGGTAGATTTGGAATTTTTCACATTCTTAAAATGCTCCAATAATATTTTGTTTGGGTTCCTCTCAGTTCAAATATCACTTATGTGTAATGTGCTCTGACCAAGGGAGGTCATTGTGAGAATTTCAAAACAACTAAAGGCTGGAGAGAGGTGGGTTGGGGGTTGGTTTTAATTTGGCAGTTGTAATTAATGGTCAATTTTAATAGTCTGTAATTGATGGCAGCCTGCTGTGGTACATGTTTATTAAGACTGGGAGAGCTACTTTAAAAACTTGTAGTCTTTTATTAGTATTTGATGATTAATTTTTACACCTTCTGTTAGATTTTAAACAGAGCGAGAATTAGGTCAATGGAAATGGTTCCCTTGTTTCTTTCGTTGAAACACATGGGACAGTGACAGTAGTCAAATTCCTAGTGTTATTCTGCTCTTTCTCCTACTCACATCTATCAGTTTTTCAGAGCTTAAAAAGCCTGCAAGAGATAGGGAAGTGTGCTGTAGCTTTTCTGGATGGATGAGGTGAAAGGATAATGGTCACAACCTGACAGCATTGACTGTCCTGTCCTGCATCATCTCCTCAGCACCTACTCTGTGTCTAGCAGCATACCTCTTTGATCAATAAGCTGCTTGGTGTGGGTGGGATGGGGGAGGATCAAGGAGAGGGTACAGCTTGGAAACAGGGGCTTGGGGTGATAGAGAAAGCACAGTTGCCCCGTTAGAATTGGCTCTAACAAAGGCTTGTTTTTGTGATTGTTTGCAGAAAGATTATCACTTTGAATATACGGAATGTGATAGCAGTGGCTCCAGGTGGAGAGTTGCCATTCCAAATTCTGCAGTGGACTGCTCTGGCCTGCCTGACCCAGTGAGAGGCAAAGAATGCAGTATGTTTTGTCTTTTTGACCATTTGTTTTCTTGATTAAACAATTACCTCTTCATATTAGCCCTAGGTGTTAATTATAATGAATGTAGGAGACCTTACAAAAGTGAGCATATGGCATTGATATCTAGCAGAATAAATGCAGCCTTTCTCATCACCAGATGCCCTTATATCTCAAGTCTGTAATGAGACAAAGGCAATATTAAAGAATATTATTATTATTTTTAAAAAATCTATTCTCTTATTTGAAACCATGGGAGGGCAGAGTGGCAGAGTTTCTTATTAATGGATTTGTTCTTATTTTAAAAATGTTTTTATAAAATTAAAAAATTATGTTGAAATACACATAACTTAAAGTTTACCATCATCACCATTTTTAAGTGTCTAGTTCAGGGGCATTAAATATATTCATATTGTTTACTATCATTACCACCATCCATCCACAGAACTCTGTCATCTTGCAATGGATTTTTTTTTTAGCCATAGAAATAACTTAATTTTTTTTTTTTAGTATAACCTACAGAGAGATTATAGAATTGCTGGATATCACATTCAACAGCTTGTCTTTTGGGAGTTAATCAGGTTTGAAGTACAACATTATAAATTAACAGAGAAATATGAAATACATGTAAATTTATTTTCATTTAAAACTTTACTTTTAAAAATCCTTTAATTTAGTGAGTTAGGGGTTCTTGCAGCAAAATAGTCGAGGGGGTGGACTAAAGTTCGAAGCTGGAAATAAAAGAGAGGGAATGTATTTGGGTTTTCTTGCAGTCTTCCAGGTAATATTCTTAAAAGCTCAGTTTTTCTGTTCCCAAATAAAAGATCAGGTAAGCAAATTGTTAAGTGGATAACTAATTTCTTCCTATTCATAGAGAGCGTTCCTCTGTTACTAGCTGGAGGAGTTTTTAGCATAATTTGTAGATTTACTGATAAAAGGGAAACTGCAATAATCTTATGAGGAAAGTCAGGGAAAAATACCATTATTTCCTGGTGAATGACATTAATGAGTGAATTCAGGGAGAACCTGAGAGGCCCTCAAGTGGGCAGGTGAAGGCTTCAGTGTAGCAACAGTTTTAAAAGACAAGAGGGTCTGTATAGAAGAAGCTGCTACAAGACTGAGGTGTGTGAAACCACTAGTGCAGAGGGCAGATGAGCTCTCAGTGACAGCAATGTGGTTGAAAGGGAAACAGAGCCTGAATCATACCTATGTAATTAGCCCATTGTGAATTTGCTTCAGTTACTTGCCTAGAAAAATCTATATATCATTTACCTATGTTTACTTTTCATTTGTGGGCTAATTCCTTGGTTTCCTTGTAAACAGCCCTATTCAGGTGGACCGCCTAACCATTTTGAATGCCAACTTCATATCTAGGTGGTATGGTGGTCTTGGCTAGCGCTGGCTTTTGAGAACTGATCGTTAGCTGGAAATGGGCCACTGTGGAGTATTGTACCCATAAAAACTAGCGAACACTACAAATTGAGGGCCTCCTTTCCCTTGGTAGCTGGATTTTAAATACTTATCAGCATAGCACTGATTACATTTGTTGGCTAAGGGTCAACTCTGTTACAGAATTGATGCCTGCATAGGAATTAGTTTTAATTAAATGTTGCCAGAGACATTTTTGCTCATTATATACAGTAAGGTTCCACAGATAACATTTTGAATCTGACACTCTAGCAAGCACTTCTGTGAAAATTCTGACTACTAATCAGGTCACTATTAGTTATTACTTACCTTAAAAATGATTCTTGCTTTAAAAATGATAATACTTTTGTGATAATACTTCAAAAATAATAATACTTTTGGCTGGTACATTTTTTATCTTTGTATTTTGTCTGAAATCTGAATTTCCATGTATTCCTGTATAGTATACTTACATTTGATCTGGAATTTGTCAGTCTGGCCTTAGATCTGTGAACATTTGCTTGTGTTAAAGACAAATTGTTTTAAAACTCACAAGTAAGTTAATAGGCTTAAGCAACTTAGAAGCACAATTCATAACTTTAACTGTGTCACTTAAACTAGTCGTTAGTGTTTGGCTGCTGAAGGCAGTATCATAGTAACTGGATATTTCTTCAGGAGCTTAGATTTTCTATTGCTAACAATAACTACCATTTCTCAAGTACTGATTATGTGCCAAACATTGTGCTTGGAGCTTTATGTCATTATCCCATTGTATCCTTACAACAGCCCTCTCAGATAACTAGGATCAGTGTTTCCATTTTATTAAAAAGGAAACTCACGCTTAAAGTGGTGAAGTAATTTACTTTATGTCATATAGCCCAGACGTGGCAGGTCTAGGATTCAAAAACAGACATGTCTGATTCTAGAGCCTGTGTCTTACCCACTGAGTTTTTCACTCGCGTCCATGTGAAGAGACCACCAAACAGGCTTTGTATGAGCAACATGGCTGTTTATTTCACCTGGGTGCAGGCGAGCTAAGTCGGAAAAGAGAGTCAGTGAAGGGAGATGGGGTGGGGCCATTTTATAGGATTTGGGTAAGTAAAGGAAAATTACAGTCAAAGGGGGTTTTTCTCTGGCAGGCAGGGGTGGGGGTCACAAGGTGCTCAGTGGGGGAGCTTTTGAGCCAGGAAGAGCCAGGAAAAGGAATTTCACAAGGTAATGTCATCAGTTAAGACAGGAACAGACCATTTTCACTTCTTTTGTGGTGGAATGTCATCAGTTCAGGCAGGAACTGGCTATCTGGATGTGTACCTGCAGGTCACAGGGGATATGATGGCTTAACTTTGGCTCAGAGGCCTGACATTCCTGTCTTCTTATTTAGAAGAAGTCTTCTTATTTATTCTCTTAATAAGAGAAATAAAACAAAATAGTGTTGAAGTGTTGGGGCGGCGAAAATTTTTTTTGGGTGGTATGGAGAGATAATGGGCGATGTTTCTCAGGGCTGCTTCAAGAGGGATTGGGGCGGCGTGGGAACCCAGAGTGGGAAAGATTAAGCTGAAGGAAGATTTTGTGGTAAGAGGCAATATGGTGGGGTTATTAGAAGGAGTATTTGTCATATGGAATGATTGGTGATGGCCTGGATGCGGCTTTGTATGAATTGAAAAACTAAGCAGAAGACACAGGTCTGAATAAGAGGAGAAAAACAGGTATTAAAGGACTAAGAATTGGGAGGACCTGGGACATCTAATTAGACAGTGTCTAAGGAGGTTCAGCATAGCCTTGCCAGCAAAGATTATTTATGTACTTTAAGAGGGAGTTAAGAGTGGTGGTTCGGGGATAGCACTAGGAGATATCAGCTGTGATGGCTTGGAGAAACAGTGTAAACTGGCAGTATAAACGAGCAGGGCATTTATGAGTCATTGAGAACAGTGAATAGGAGTATGACTAGACAGAAGATATAGGGATGACAAGTTTTTGGGGCACAGTCTAGGTTGGTCTGGTGTCTGGAATGAGACTGGGGCTTAATAAAAAGGAGCGTCTATACAAGAGCTTAAATGGGCTGTACCCTGTAGCATTCTCAGGACAGGCCTGAATTCTGAGAAGGGCAAGTGGTAAAAGTATTGTCCAGTCCTTTTTAAGTTGGTGGTTGAGCTTGGTGAGGTATGTTTTTAAAAGACCATTAGTCTGTTCTACCTTTCTTGAAGATTGAGGACCGTAAGGGGTATGAAGGTCTTACTGAATACCAAGAGCCTGAAAAACTGCTTGGGTGATTTGACTAGTAAAGGCCGGTCCGCTATCAGAAATGTATAGAGTTGGGAAGGCCAAACTGAGGAATTATGTTTGACAGAAGGGAAGAAATTACCGTGGTGGCCTTCTCAGACCTTGTAGGAAAGCCCTCTACCTATCCAGTGAAAGTGTCTACCCAGACTAAGAGGAATTTAATTTTTTGACTCTGGACATGTGAATAAAGTCAATTTGCCAGTCCTGGGCAGGGGCAAATCCCAGAGCTTGATGTGTAGGAAAGGGAGGGGCCCTGAACAATCCCTGAGGGGTAGTAGAATAGCAAATGAAACACTGTGAAGTGATTTCCTTGAGGATAGATTTCCATGATGGAAAGGAAATGAGAGGTTCTAAGAGACGGGCTAGCAGCTTGTAACCTACATGGGAGAGGTTATGAAATGACGACAGAATAGAATGGGCCTGTGAGGCTGGAAGAACCATTTGTCTTGTGTGGGAAGAGATTGATAGGTAGAAGTTTCAGCGGGGCAGTAGGTAGGAGTGACCAATGTGAAGGAGAAAAACTGGCCGTGAGGGACAGAATTTGGAATGCTAGCTGCTTGTCTAGCCACCTTATCAGAATAAGCGTTGCCTAGAGCAATGGGATCTGATGCCTTTTGATGGCCTTTGCAGCGAATGACCCCAGTTTCCTTTGGAAGTAAAGTGGCCTTGAACAGAGTTTTTATTAAAGAGGCATTAATGATGGAGGACCCTTGCTGGTGAGGAAACCTCTTTCAGCCTATATAACAGCATGGCGGTGCAGAATATGGAAGGCATATTTAGAGTCAGTATAAATATTGACACGTAGTCCTTTTGTAAGAGGGAGGGCCTGAGTTAAGGCAACTAGTTCAGCTTGCTGAGAGGTAGTGGAGAGGGGCAGAGCTGTAGCCTCAATGACAGGTGTGGAAGATACTATAGCATAGCCAGCAAACAGGAAAGAAGGAAATATG